AAAATCCCCACCAGCCTCTTTGCCAGGAGGGAGCAGATGGAAAGCCTTGGAGGCATTGACTTTAAAGATAAGGAGTGCGTAGAATGCAAATCTTTAGAGCTGGTCTTGTAAACACTCCCAACTAACAAGAGAGGAACCTATTTTGATGTTTGCAATAGTGGCGAATATCTGTAGCTCGGATGTAGGCCAGGGGTAGGCAACCTTGGCTCTTTTATGACTCGTGGACTTCAACTCCCAGAATTCCTGAGCCAGCCATGCTGAGGGGAAAGGGAGGGGTTTCCAAGCTGAGCAATGCTGGCTCAGGAATTCTGGGAGTTGAAGTCCCCGAGTCATAAAAGAGCCAAGGTTGCCTACCCCTGGTGTAAGATGAGAGTGAAGGTTCATTCTCCGAGCTTGTGGGTTGGTTTCCGAACGTTTCGTTACCAGGCTAGGTAACATCTTCAGCGGAGTGTAGGGGATGTGTGTGTGTCAGCGCTCCTCTGTTTATAAGGGCTTCAGGTATGGTGTGTGTCAAGTGAAGGTCTTGTGAGGGGTCAGGTGTCACACCCTCCAACAACCCTGACATCACAAGACCCATCACAAGCCTCTCTCTGATGACTCACACCTGACCCATCACAAGATCCTCATTTGACACAGGGGGTCCCCAACCTCCAGTCCGTGGACCAGTACCAGGCCGTGGCATGCCAGCAACCGATCCGCACAAACAAGCAAAGCCCCATCTGCGGGATGCAGGCAGCACACAAAACCATGCCCCCTCCGGTCCGTGGAAAAACCCCTCTCCATGGAACCGGTCCCTGGTGCCCAAAAGGTTGGGGGCCTCTGCCCTAAATGCTGCTGAAGACATTACTTAGCCTGGTAACGAAACCAACCCACAAGCTTGGAGAACTAACCTTCAACCTCATATTTTGATATCTTACCTGAGAAAAAAAAGAGGCCCTTGCCCTATCGAGCTTTGTGTGTTTATCTGGACTCTAGATTTAGGATCAATATGCAGAAATACAGGCCAAGGACATCTGCATGACATGGTTACCTATGGTTAACTGAGTGAAAATTCCCTGATTGAATCCAGTGTTTTGATTCTGATGATACAAGGAGTCATAAACTAAGCATAGGCTCTGATCCAGCATGCTCAGCTGACGTGCGAATGGACCATTTGTGATTCAGTGTGTTTTACAAACATGGCAATTCACTAGGGAAGAGAAGGCAAGAATTCTGAGACCTATATCGAGCATTTCAGCAGGTAATCTACATACAATGTATGAAAAGTTAGGCTAAGAATTTTTTTCCCTTAAAACTAATGCTTTCTGGTGTCCTTATTCTACATTCAGAGTGAATAACAAAGTTGTTCTTTGCGTCTTTAGGCTAATGAGAAGCAAAAGGCCCATTCCCAGAATGCAGCACTTCACTGGGCTCAGAAGTCTCGGCGTATGTCTTGCCTGAGTATCATTGTCTGGGTTTCCCTTCTTATTCTGACCCCCATGTTACTAGTCCTCCTGTCTTACCTCATATCTAAAGCAGAATGATGAGCCACATCGATCGGTGACTTTGGACTTCCAGAATCCATGTTGACTACTGTGGTTTCTTCAGCTGGCACTGAAGCATTTTTTGTGATGGCACTTCCTTCGTTGAGTTGGCTTCATGAAGGGGAAAAATGGTGGACATCATATATATTTTTTTTACAGAGAATGTAGAAGGATTTGTTCTCCTTGACGTAAGAAGCCCAGCTGATTTCATCTGTTACCATCCTTCTCCATTTGATGTATTCCAGATGTTGGACTACCCTTCCCATCATTCCTAGCCAGGATTGCCATGTGATGCGGATTCCCAGAAGCACCTATACTTGACTGAAATATTTGTATTTCTGTTTCATGAAATGTTCTTTCCTGGTGGAAAAAAATATATACCTATTATAGAAATCCCCTGACAGTGAAAGTGGTTGAGTTTGGAAAAAGTCAGTCAAATTATCTGGCACACAGATGACTTGTATTGTGTCATGAAGTTATAATTAGCTTCAATCCAAACCATCTGATCTGAGCACAAGGAAACCCTCCCTTTGTACTGTTGAAAGAAAAATCTTCACCGGGGTCCAGTCCAAGCTGGGAATAAACAAAATGGAGATTGTTTTAGAAAGAAGGTTGTGGTTTATTGAAGAGGAGAGCCAGACAGAAAGATGGCTCTGGGAAGAACTGACCACATGTGGCTGGGAGTGGTGAGTTTTTATACCTTCTTGGGCTTTTGTTTGGAGTTCTTCCTGTTTGAGGCTTTGTATTTCTTGTGTCATGTACTTTGACTTGAGTCTGAGTGTGCCTTTCTGGTATTCTGATGGTGGTGGGTTAATCCTATTATGTCCCAAAGGTCATATCCTGCTTCCCTGGGGCTCTGGCTGATGACTGTTGTGAGGGATTGTTGATTCTAGAGATCTTTTTCTAATCCCAGTTTCCTGGCTCTAATCTTTCTGACAAGATTATCACATCTGCATTTCTGCAGACCTGGTTTCTGTTTGGGGCAGAGAGACTGGGGGTGGTGGTGGTGGTTTCTGCCTTTAAGATCCTTTGGGGAAATATATTCTGCCTTTTTAATATTTCCCAAAATATTTCTTTCTCTGGATTCTTCCCACAGTATCAAAAGTAGTTTGCCTTTGAAGGAGGGGGCAGAAAGCTCTGTATCTTAATCAGGGGTTATTTCGGCACTTTTTTTTTTTTTTTTTACCTCTTGTGGATATCACAGATGGCAAGGTTGGGCACAGAAGGCAGCCTAAAGATCAAGGCGGAATCAAAGCTTGTGTTGGAGGGGGGAGGGAGAGTTGGCTTCAAATCCTGCCCCATCTATAAAGCCCCTCAAGTGACCTCAGACCAGTCATTAATTCTCTTAGTCCTGGTCCACCTCAGAGGGTTATTGTACACAGGGCTTTTCAACCAGTGGTACGGGTACCACCTGTGGTACATTGGCACCTGGCAGGTGGTACGTGACCATCCTAGAAAAGTGGTAGCGGGGGAGGGGAATGAGCTGAACCGGTGGCAGCACCGCACAAGCCTCAGTGAGAGATGGCTGGAGCTGCAGGGCTGTCAGGGCTCAGCGGAAGCGCCAGGATCAGCGCCAGGCTCCAGCTGGAGCTCGGCGCTGATCTTGGCGCTTCTGCTGAGCCCAGAAGAAGTGCCGATCAGCTGGAATGTTACAGCATCTCCAGGGTCTTGTGATTTACATTCAGATGCGTGGCAACTGATTCATATTTATGACGGTCACAGTGTCCCACCGTCATGTGAAGTGACCAAAACTTGCTGCAACCACCCAGCAGACGGGGGGAATAAAAACCAAACACTCCCCCCACCCCCCCACTGCCAATCCTCAACAGAAATGCTCACAACAATGAAAACCTTGGACAGGAGGAAGAGCACCACCAGGTGGGCAGGCAGGTGTCTTGCTCGGCTGTGGCTTGCGGGGCACTTTTTCTGTGCCGTTGTAACTTCGAACAGTCACTAAGCGAACTGTTGTAAGTCGAGGACTACCTGTACTTTATCACTTATTTCCTTTTTTTTTTTGTCATCATGTTTTTGACACCTTGCTAGGCGACTGGTGGTACTCGGATATTGCCATATCCTAAAAGTGGTACCAATGGGTGAAAAGGTTGAAAAGCCCTGGTTGTACAGATAAAGCGGGAAAGCAGAAACCTCTTTTGGATGAAAAACGATTAAAAATAGCAACATAGCTTTTCTAAGGACTGAGGTGTAGTGGTTAGAGCGCTCTTCCCCAGCCTTGATGCCCTCTAGATGTGTTAGGACTGCAACTCCCATAATTCCCAAACAACACGCAAGGGCCGCTCCAACACAGTGGCATAGCATAAAGTGGAAGAAAGTCGGCCGGATCAAACAGGAAACCCAGATTTAAATCGCTGCTGATCCGTGGCAAGCGGGCATGACCTTGAGCTGCCCATCCTAATCTACTTCAGAAGGTCGTGAGGTTCGTGCACTGCGGGCGGAGGGTCCGGCTAGGGCGGGATGTGTACCTTTCCTGTATATGTGTGTGTGTGTGTGTGTTGTGTAGTAACACTGCCCTGTGTTGGTCACGTGACCAAGCCTTAAAGAAAGGCGTGGGAGAATTCGCCCGCCACCGCCTCTCGACCTTTGCTTTGGCGATTGTGAAACCTAGAATAACCCTTTCGCGCAAAGCACCCGCCCCTTCCCTTTCGCGATTGGCTAATTTTATCCAAAGTTTGTTTACCGAGCCGCTCTCCTCTCGCTCCCTTATCCAAATCCAGCAGGCGATTGGTTCATCCGCCTGACACTTGCAACCTTCCGTTCTGATTGGCTGAGCTTTCTCCTGTGGCGGGTAGGAAACGGCGCTTCCTCTTTTAATCCCCGCTCCTCTGTTTCTTCTTCTTCTTCTTCTTTATTTGATTCGCTTCTGCCTTTCGACAGCCCGCCTCCCTTCCCCCTCTGTTCGTCTGGCCACTGGGCGCTGCTCTCGCCGGTCTGGACGGATCCCTTTGGTCGCTCTGGTCACTCCCCGGGGGCATTGAAGGAGCGCGAACCAATCAGATCGAAGGGGCGGGGCCCGGGAGTCGCCGGCTATCGTTGGGGGGGTCATTCAGTCAATTGAAGCGGAGGCGCCGCCGGGTAAGGATCTCGGGGCGCCCTTTTGTGCGGGAAGCGCGGGAGTCGATTACGTAACAGGGGATCCCCCTGCAGAGGCGAGAGAAAGAGGTGAGCGGACCGCGCTTATAAGCTAAGATAGGCGGGTAATGGTTGGTGGCATCGCGGGACCCAGAACCACTCAACCCCGGAATCTATTGCCGGTGCTAGGCCACGGTCCTGAAATGTAAACCTCTAGTTTCTGAGAACATGCAGAGTGCATTTCTGTCGTGCCTGAGCGACTCGGGTGGAGGAGGAAGCTTTCGCCGCAGGGCAGCCTCTGCCCGTTTTGTAGCATAATCAGCGCTTTCTGTGTTATGTCTTAGGTGCTCCGATGGCTGCACGCGTGATATCTGATTTCTGAGTAATTTTTGCAACAACCTTGGAAGGTAGGCCGGTAACATAGATATGCCTAGAAAGCAAGGTCCAAGTGCTGCAAAAAGTGGCAGATCTCCAAATCTGTGTGTGTTTGTGTGTCTGTGATAAGGCATAGATAAAAGCCTGTGGATTTTATATACTTTGACGTACCTTTATGTACCGAATCTAGACCCTAAAAGCGGGTTTCTTGCTATCATTTCTTATCAAACCCCTCAGTAGTGCTTAGAGATGGAAGATGCCCTTCTAATGCCCTTTTAATACTAAATTGTGGAGAATTTCGGCCTGTAGATTCAGCAGCGCAACCAATGAATGCCTTGGGATAACCCCCCTTTTTCTTGGTATTATTTGGAAATCTTGGACTACAATTCATAGATTTCTTAGCAAGTGTGAAAAATGGATATTTGAATTCTGACAGTTACAGTTATTGTCTAACACCCCAGAGGGCACGAGGATGAGAAAGCCAGCCTAGTAAGTGGAATGTTCTCAGTGCCAAATGATTTACCATGCTATTAAAATACCAATAAAGGAGAATATTTGTAGCTCAGCGTTGAAATGAAGAGTCCTTGGTGGTCTCTGAACTTGATTGTTTTCTTGCAGATGCTTCATTGCCCAAACTACATAACATAATCAGTGATGATGTTACCTAGTTTGGGTAATGAAACATCTGCAAGCTCAGAGACCACCAAGGATCCCTCACTGAATATACTGTCAGGCTTAATGCTTCTTTACTTGAAAAAAAAAATCCCATTTCAGTTGAAATTTATGACATTTATATTTCTAGGCAAACATCTGCAAGTTTTACACCCTTATTGAAGGGAGATCTGGATTCAGATTATAAGATTGTGATGAGGCTAAAACGAGGCTCTGAAATGAGTCTTCGAGGTTTAGGAGTGAAGGATTCCACTGGGATGGAAAAGCAGGCGTAGGAAGAAGGTGTGACTGTGGGCAAAATGCGGAATTGTAGAGGCTGATGTATATGTGGAATATTCTAAAGGGATATCTTTGCTTGGTCATGCCTCTAATCCCATTATTTCCTATACTGTTTATGGATTGTGTGTCAAATCTTTGTGGCAGTTTTGCTCTCTGAGGGATGGGTGGGTGGTGGGATGCATCAGGCTTTTTATTTTGCCCTGATTTGCTCACAGGAATGGGGAATCTACCCCATTGTAGCACAAGGTTGCAAAATGTTGATTGATTGATTTTTTTATTTGTTCATAAATCCAAAGGAGGAATTACAGCTCCATTTGACTGTAGGGGAGAGCATCTTGATGGCTACAATGTGTCTTGAAATCCATCCTGCCACTGAGTGAAATTTTCAGAGAGGGGATTAGTCTCCCTCGGTCCAATTTAAGTCCTTTTCCTTTGTCTTTTCCATGAAGTCCACCACGAAAGCCATGTGTGGATTGGAATGTCTCGGCCTGAGGCTGCCATCACGTAGGTTGATTTCCCCGTCTAGGTCTCCTCTCGGACGTGTGCATGCAGATCAGGGAGCAGCTGAGTCCAGAGAGCGTCCAGCGCTTTGACACAGGTCTCCTTTTGCCTCTTTGTGCATTTCAGAAGCTGAACCGGTACTTGCGGTTTACCAGCCTTGCAGTAAAATGACGCGAGACGTGGGCCTGGATGACGAGCTTCCAGACTGGGCTGGTGCCAAGGAGTTCTACCAGAAATACGACCCCAAGGATGTTATTGGCAGGTGAGGCTAGAAGGGAGAAGGGACGTGACGCAATAGAATGGTTCGGAGGGATGGAAACATTCTTCTATTTATTTTTCCTGCCTGGGACATTAGTGTTTCTCGAAACTTGATTCTCCTGTACATTCTCATCCCACTCGCAGAGGCGTAAGCAGTGTGGTCCGGCGATGTATACACAAGCAGACGGGCCAGGAGTATGCAGTAAAAATTATTGAGGTAACCCCGGAGCGCATGACCCCGCAGCAGCTGGAAGAAGTCCGCTTGTCCACCAGCAAAGAAATTACCATCCTGCGCCAGGTCTCCGGTCACCCTTTCATCAGTGAGTGGCTGTCCCATCTCTTAGCATCTCTTTCTACGGCAAATTTATTTATTTGATTTTTATCCCGCCTTTATTACTTTAGAGCAGAGGCCCTCAACCTTTTGGGCACCAGGGACCGGTTCGGTGGAGAGAGGTTTTTCCGCAGACCAGAGGGTGCGTGGTTTTGTGTGCTGCCTGCATCCCGCAGATGGGGCTTTGCTTGTTTGTGCGGACCGGTTGCTGGCATGCCATGGCCCGGTACCGGTCCACAGACTGGGGGTTGGGGACCCCTGCTTTAGAGGTAACAAAAGGTAGCGAACGTACATAATACAGGTAGTCCTTGACTTACAACAGTTTGTTTAGTGACCGTTCAAAGTTACAATGGCTCTGAAAAAAATGACGTATGACCATTTTTCACACTTATGACTGCTGTAGCCTCCCCGCGGTCATGTGATCAAAATTCAGAGGCTTGACAACTGAGTCATATTTATGACAGTCGCAGTGTCCCATGGTCATGTGATCACCTTTTGCGACCTTCTGACCAGCAAAGTCAGTGGGGAAGCCACTTAACCGTGTTACTAACTTAACAACTGCAACGATTCATTTAAGAACTCTGGGAAGAAAGGTTGTAAAATGAGGCAAAAATTCACTTAACAAATGTCTCCACTTAGCAATGTAAATTTTGGGCTCAGTTGTGGTCATAAGTCGAGGACTGCCTATACTCCTCCCTCCTCCTATTTTCTCCACAACAACAATCCTGTGAGGCAGGTAGGGCAGAGAGAGAATGACTGGCCAAAAGTCACCCAACCAATTTTCGTACCTAAGATGGGACTAGAGCTCATTCGCCTGGTAATTGGTCCAAAATTACCCAACCAGCTTTCGTGTCTAAGGCGGGATTAGAACTCACAGTCTCCTAGTGATTGGTTCAAAGTCACCCAGCCAGTCTTCATGCCAGAGGCGGAACCAGAACTCACAATCTCCTGGTTTCTAGTCTGGTGCTTCAACCATTAGATCAAACTGGGTCTGTCAGTGAATGTCCTTTTTTGATTCTTCCCTGTCCGTTCCATTTTTGCTGATGTCATTCTGCTTGGGTGATGCTTCCCCTCTCTTCTGATTAATCATGACTTGATTAATAAAGGCAGGGACAAAATAAGTAAAACAAAAAACTCCCCCCTCCAAATAACTTTGTGCTTGTTCCTTGCTGTTTCTAAAATCACAATTATTGAGCAGTCTGCTCCTGCACAGTTCTGCATTGTATCAACGGATTCTGCTGACTCCTTAAATTGTTGGTGTAATCACGGGTAGCATCCTACAAAGAGATTGTGGTGGTTCTAAGACAATGGTGGCGAACCTATGGCACGGGTGCCAGAGGCGGCACTCAGAGCCCTCTATGTGGGCACACGCGCCATCGCCCCAGTCCTAGGCCTTCAGCTGGGTTTTATAAAACCTTTTCGCTTTAGGCCTCCGCCGCTGTGTACAAAAAAAAAGGTTCAATCAATCAGTCAATTTCAACTTCTCGCAGGAAAAAAAAAAGATCTTGCAAAGTTGGAATTGATTGATTGAACTTTTTAGTCCCACCCAGTCTGCTGTTACCACAGCAGCCACACCACCCAATGGACCACACCCACACAATGGGCCACACCCACACAATGGACCACACCCACCTGGCACCCGAAGATGCATAAGTAGGTTTTGGGTTGGAGTTTGGGCACTCAGTCTCTAAAAGGTTCGCCATCACTGTTCTAAGAGGTCGATTCATGGATTCTATTTATACAGCTTTCTTTTGAAAAAGTTGTGCTTCATTGCTGCCTTATATATTTTTATTAACCAAGCACTATTGGATGGGAAAATATGGGTATAAATTTATCAGCTAAAGAAATAAAATGATTGGCACTAATCAAAAGGAAAGGTTGGTCTTGGGGGGAAGCTGTTGTGCCAGCCCCCTTCGGTCCTGTGATTGCATTTTGGGCCCTTGACAATCTGTTTGCATTTATGACCAGTTGCAGCATCCCACAATCACATGACCACCATTTGGAGTATCTATTTTTGGGGGGGGGTTGCCTTTTCTAGCATTTTTGTTGGTTTCCAGTAAAAACCACCTATTTGGGAGAATGGATTCCCTTAATGACCATGTGATTTGCTTGATGCCCACAGTGACTTGTAAGCAGTCATAAAATCAAATCCGGTCGCGTGGTTACCCACTTAATGGCCGCAATGACTTGCAATCAAAATTCTGGGCTTGTGGGTCATTAATTGAGGGCTCCACATTTGTATTCTGCCATTAGACACAAGTGCCATTTTATAAATACTGAAGCAATTACGATATAAGGCAGTGGTGGCGAACCTATGGCACGGGTGCCAGAGGCGGCACTCAGAGCCCTCTCTGTGGGCACGCGTGCCGTTGCCCCAGTCCTAGGCCTTCATCTGGGTTTTATAAAACCTTTTCGCTTTAGACCTCCGCCGCCGTGTGCAAAAAAAAAAAAAAGTTCAATCAATCAATTTCAACTTGTGGGGAAAAAAAAAGATCTTGCAAAGTTGGAATTGAATGAACTTTTTAGTCCCACCCATTCTTCCGTTACCACCGCAGCCATGCCCAGCCAATGGGCCACACCCAGCCAATGGGCCACATCCACCCGGCACTCAATGATGCATAAGTGGGTTTTGGGTTGCAGTTTGGGCACTCGGAGTCTAAAAGGTTCACCATCACTGATATAAGGGACAATTCTTCTTTTTTTCTCCAGTTACTCTTATAGATTCCTATGAGACATCCACCTTCATGTTCCTAGTCTTTGATTTGTAAGTAGCAAACCTTTGAAAATGGGGGGGGGGGGGGAAATCAAGGGGTTGATTCACTCTGTGAAATAAAATGATATGCTGGCTGGGGAATTCTGGGAGTTGAAATACACTCATCTTAAATGTCGCCAATCCTAAATTAAATTGTAATTATGAAAAAGAGAGCCGTACGCTAAATATAATAAATAAATATGAGAAAGACAGCATAACCGAAGTAATCTGATTCTGCTCCTAGTCCCTAATTTATGTTTTCCCTGCAGGATGAGGCGAGGTGAGCTTTTTGACTACCTTACAGAGAAGGTAACCCTCGGTGAAAAGGAGACCAGGTAAAAACCGGCGGTCTTCTGCTGGCCCTAGAGTAGTGGAATGTTTTTACCACATAACTTAATGAGCCCTCCTCCTCGCTGTTTTGTGGAGGGCCCCAAGACCTGGTCCTCGCAACAACTGGGCCTCCCTCTGCCTTTTTTCAGATGCGTCATGCGAGCCCTCCTGGAAGCCGTGAGCTACCTTCATGAGAATAGCATCATCCATCGAGACCTCAAACCGGAGAACATCCTCATGAACGATGATCTTAGCATCAAACTCTCCGATTTTGGCTTCTCCTGCCATTTGGAGCCAGGGGAGAAACTGCGAGGTGAGGCGGGGGTCCCATCCGGTGGCCCATCTTTGGAGAGGTGGAGACAGTGAAGGCGGGCCTTTCCATTTGCCCTGGCCCATGGGGCAGCCCCCCTGTTAAGCCACAGGGCAGGCAGGAAAGCTCAGTTCATTGTTTCTGTGGCGTCTTTTCGTACGCTATGCATCCACTTTTCTTGTTCTGAAAAGTTCTCCTAATTTGCATTTTTCTGAATCTGTGACTGTTCCCTGCAGAGTTATGCGGTACCCCAGGCTATCTGGCACCAGAGATACTGAAATGTTCCATGGACGAGACTCATCCTGGTTACGGGAAGGAGGTGGACCTGTAAGTTATAATTAGGGAATGGAGTGGGGGGGGGGGGTCAGGGAACTTTCCCGAACCTGCTGAGCGCCAGATATTCTGGCCTACAGTTGTCCCCACCTGCCAGCCAAGGTAGGGTGGGTCATTGGAAAATAATCTCTTTTGGGGTCCTTGGTGCTCTCTGAACTTGATTGTTTTCTTGCAGATGTTTCATTGCCCAACTAGGTAACGTCATCAGTGCTAGAAGGGAGGGAGCCTGTTGTTTATATACAAGTGGCTTGCCCTGTCAGTGTTGTTGGGAGTGTCCTCGGTGGTTCCTTGATTAGGATACTGTTTACTGCTTGATTGTATTGATGATTAGTTGGGTAATGAAACGTCTGCAAGGAAGCAACCAAGCTCAGAGAGCGCCAAGGACTCCACGGTTCCACCCTGTGCTACAAATATTCTCTACTATTGACCTCCCTCCCTCCCTGCAGCTGGGCCTGTGGCGTCATCTTTTTCACCCTCCTGGCTGGCTCTCCCCCTTTCTGGCACCGCAAACAGATGTTGATGCTTCGGATGATCATGGAAGGCCAGTATCAGTTTGGTTCTCCNGTTTTTACTTCCAGTTTTTGGCAAAAAACAGCCATAGTGAACTGGGTTTTGCTTTACGACCATAGCGGTCACTTTAGGACTGCTGCAAAAATGTCATAAAAATGGGTCCAGTTATGTGGTGACCCACTTTATGACCGTCATGACTCATGATCGTAATGGGCTAGCTTCATTTTTGTCGTAAGTCAAGGACTATCTGTGGGGTTTTGTTTTTTTTTGTAGCTCATGCTGGCCTGCCTAGCCTGACATACAGAACAGGGAGGGGGGGAAAAATCATATAAATATACGTTTAAATCGTCACATTGCGTCTCAATTCCTCCCTTTCCATGTCAGAATCCATCAGCAGGCCTGTGTTCTCAGAACGCTTCTTGGGGAAACCCCCCCCCTTTTTTTTTTGGGCAGATCTCCCGACTGCTGAAGGTAGATCCTGTCGAAAGATTGAGTGCTGAGCAGGCACTGCAACACCCCTTTTTCCAGCGCTACGGAAAGGAGCAGCGGCATTTCAGCCCCTTCCATAAATTCAGGGTAAGTGGCATATTCTTATTTAATTACAAATAAATAAAAAAATATTTATTCATCTAAGTCATTTTTACTCCATTCTTCATTCCCCAAAGGGCATGTTGTCAGTGTATATATAATGTCTTAACTGCAAAACAGATGTCCTGAGGCTCAAAATAAAACGTTTTTGGGTCGAAAGGATGCCTGCTTCTAACATTTCTGGGCGTAGGAGACAGTTTCAAAATGGTTCACTTCATGCGGGTTTCCCCCCCCCCCTCAGAGTTGGGTGGCTGGAGTATGGTGGGAGTTGAAATCCACAAATCTTAAAGTTGTGAAGGTTGAGAAACACTGGTGTATAGGTTTTAGTTACAATTTTATTCTAGACCTTATTTTGGTGTTTGTTTTTTTTAATGTTAAAAGTACATGCTTTGGATGCAAAAGGTTCCAGGCCCGATGCTTGATGTCTCTCTAAAGCAGCGTTTCTCAACCTTAGCAGGGTTGAAGATCTATGTATGCTAGGTGGGGGATTGTGGGACGTGAAGTCCACACGTCTTCAACTTGCTGAGAATCACTGCAGAAGAGTGAAGCCTCTACGACAGACATGTCAAACACAAGGCCCGGGGGCCGGATGCGGTCCGCGAGGCCATCCTGGAAACAGTGAGGGAACGGCCCCCGCTGCCTTGGCCCTGGCCCAGGCCGGCCGGGAGCCAATGTACAATTTTGTGGTGGCCATCTATGCTGAAACGCATTCAGTCTTAGCTCCACAAGGCCGTCTGGAAACAGCGAGGAACCAGCCCCTGCCGCGTCGGCCCTGCCCCCTGGGTGCATGCTGGGGAGGTGTCACCCTTTGTGAGGAATGAAGAAACGGACTATGCCTTGGCACCTGCCCTGGTCCCACCCCCTTCTGCCAGAGACCCTCAGATCTGTCCCACTCCTGCCCAGGCCCCCACAGGCACCCTTGACGCGAACAATGTAGAGCTGGTCGCACCCACCCTGGGCCCCCCTGCCCCCCGAGGGCAACCACAATGCTGATGCGGCCCTCAATGAAATTGAGTTTGACACCCCTGCTCTATGAATACCCTGAAGCACTACAAGTAGTCCTCAACGTACAACCACAATTGAGCCCCAAATTTCTGTTGCTAGGTGACACAGTTGTTAAGTGAATTTTGCCCCATTCTTACAACGTTTCTTGCCAGGTTTCTTGTTCAGTGAATCCCTGCAGTTGTTAAGCGAGTGATCCGGGGTTGTTAAGTGAATCTGGTTTCCCCCCTTGACTTTGCTTGTCAAGAGATCGCAAAAGGTGATCGCCACATGATCCCGGGACGCTGCAACCGTCATAAATACGAACCGGTTGCCAAGCGTCCAAATTTTGATCCCATGACTGTGGGGATGCTGCAGCGGTCATAAGCGTGAAAAAATGATCGTAAGTCCCTTTTTTTCCAGTGATGTCATTTCAGACGGTCACTAAATGAACTGTTTTAAGTTGAGGACTACTTGTACTGCTAGTCGGCACCGTCAGTGCTGCCCTTGGTGGATCGATGGCCTGTCCCACTTCCTCTTTTGTGACCCTGTGGGAAGAGAGGCCTCTTCTAAGATAATGCTTGCTTACGAGCGTCCTTGCCTTCTGCTCTCCACCTTGTGGCCTGGTGTGACGTCTTTCTTTTTTTACCACGGCAGGTCATTGCGTGGACAGTGCGGGCTTCCATCCGCATCTACTCCAGCTATCGGCGAGTGCGTCCGGTCACAAAGGAGCTGCTGCTGTGCGACCCCTATGCCCTCAAGGGAGTGCGCAAGCTGATCGACGCTTGTGCCTTCCGAATCTACGGGCACTGGGTCAAGAAGGGCGAGCAACAGAACCGGGCTGCCCTCTTTGAAAACATGCCAAAGGCCATCCAGTTGGTCTTGCTAGGCACAGAAGGCGAGGAGGCCCCGTCGTCAGCGGTGGAAGACCCTCTCAACTAGAGAGATGCCTTCCAGTCCCCGTGAAACAGCACGGGGTGATCCCTGGATGCTGAGGGGCAGGGGGTGTACACGGAACTGAACCTTATCCTTGCCCCATTAGGGGTGGACAGCCAATGGTTAGAGTCCTCCTTTGGGTTCCTCGTGCATGGAAGAGACTGACTTTCTAGAGAACAGGAATTTGGGGGAACCTTGAATTTCGGACTGATGGGACAAGATTCCCCGATTATACCTGGAAGGTTGTTCTGGACCTGGGTAGGGCTAACATCACACCAATGGTGTTGGTCCAGAGGGAGGGGCTGGGGAGAGCAACATGCTTCTGCTGCAAGACCCGGAGCCCCTGACGTAGCCTTTGCGCTGTAAGGACCGTTCAGGGGGGTCTCATCCGTCAGTGCAGTCCCTTCGGCTGAAGGAACAGTCCGTGTCTCTGGATTTGGTCAGTACTGGAGATCAGTTGTGGGATCAGGTTTTGCATCTGTCCTTTTTGCTGCAATCAGGTAGTGGACGTGGCCTTCCTGCTGAACTGCTTCTCGGTTTTTTTTTTGTTGTTGTTGTTGTCTGCCTTCCCCCCACCTTACGATTGTCCAGACTATAATAAAAGTTGAAATGAGACCTCAGCTGTCTTCCGACGTGGGCTTCCCTTTCATTGCAAGACTTGGAACGGGAATTCATAATAATTTCCTGCTGAAATGGGGGTCTTGCCAGACACGCTCATTTACCCCCCATCGTGTTCTGCCCCAGGCCCCAGAAATTCCCAAGCACTGCCCAAAGGGGAGGGAACGACGCATCTCGAATTTGGCATATCCCAGGAAAAATGCTTAGGCCACAATGACGGAGTGGGTGGAACTGGGATAGGACCAGGGGAAGTTTGCCAAAAACAACCACACCAAGTCCATTGGCGTCTAGTTGGCACAGCCAGATTCCAGGCAGAATCTAGTGAAAGAAATATTTCTCTTTGCCCAGCCAGGCTGCGTTACGTTGGCCAAGAGTGCTCAGCCTATAAGTCACCAGGCTCCCCAGAAACCTGCGAAAACCTGAACGTATTTATATCCCGTCTATCTTGTGCAACGCAAGATAGCATACAGATAACGCTCTCACTTCCTGTTTCCTTCACAAGAACCACACTGTGGGGTTGGGCTAAGAGTGTGTGACACCCAAAAGTCACCCAGCCAGCTTTCATGGCTGAAAGGGGATTAGAATTCAAGACCTCCTGATCCTTTCTAATCCAGCATTTTACACCACTACACCAAACTGACTCTCTAGGACAGTGGTGGCGAACCTATGGCACGCGTGCCAGAGGCGGCACTCGGAGCCCTCTCTGTGGGCACACGCGCCATGCCCCGGAGATGGCAACCGTCCCTCTTCAATCAGCCGTCCACTAACTCGCTGAGGTCCCACGTGGCCGGATGCATCCCGGCACGGCTGGTTTCCCTCCCTCCCCCCGTCCCATCCCTCCTGGCCTCGTATGCTCTCCTTTTTCCGGGCACGACCCACTGCATCGCCTCCTCAGCTGTCGGCCGTCCGTCCAGCTCAGAGGCGGCTTCTCTGAACTGCTGCTGGTGAGCTGCGGAGCCCCAGAATGCACCAGTCGAGGGGCCGGCAGGCTGTGGCTGCTGACAGGCACTGTCGGCCCCCATGCGCTCAGTGGCCTCTGTGTGGGGGCCGATGGTGTCAGGCAGCAGCTGTCCTGGCCCCTGCCTCACCTTGCCCTGCAACAATGGCACCCCCGCCCTGCCTCCCCTCACCCTGCAGAAAGAGCCTCCTGCCCACTGCCCCACCTGCCAGAGACCCCCTGGATCTCCCCCAACCCTGCCCGGCCCCCACAGGCGTCCCTCCCCACGAGCAACATCGAAGTGACCATGCCCAGCTTGACCACACCCACCCAATCTGCCATGACCACCACAGCCACGCCCACCCAGTGGGCCACACCCACCTGGCACCCGGTGATAAGTAAGTGGGTTTTGGGTTGCAGTTTGGGCACTCAGTCTCTAAAAGATTCGCCATCACTGCTCTAGGGTTTGTTTTCTAATTAAATATGGGAACTAATCATATTGGAATGACTCGATTAATTTGGTTTCAATAAATCCTTAAAGGTGTTCTTTGGCAGTTCATTCAGTGACCGTTCCAAAGTTACAACGGCACTGAAAAAAATGACTTGTTGTTTTTCACACTTAACGACCACTGCAGCATGCTCGTAGTTACACGATCAGAATTCAGACGCTTGCCAAATGGCACGTATTTCTGACGGGTGCAGCATCCTGGGATCACGGGATCACCATTTGTAACCTCAGCTGGCTTCCAACAAGCAAAGCCAGTGGGGGGAAAGCCAGATTTGCTTAATAACCGTGGCAAAAAAGGTCATAAAATGGGGCAAAACTCACTTAACAACTGCCTTGCTTAGCAACAGCAATTTTGGGCTCAACTGGGGACATAAGTCGAGGACTACCTGTATTCAGTCTCAGATTGGCCTTTGACCTTAATAATGCTGCTACTTTTGACCTAGAAAAAAAATTAATAAAACAGTAGACAATATTTTAACCACATTTTAATATCCTAACATCACGTGCTTTATGCAACAGTTCCTGCTACTTACTATATGACCTTACCATCTCAAGAAGAGATTTTCTGTAAACCCTTATCACATTTTCAAAAGCCTTTTAGAAATCCATTTGCCCCCCCCCCCCATATTTCAACCGTCATTCCCTGTGAACTCTCTTGGTCTTGTGTGGTGACCCCTTTCTGCAGAAGCCCCAGAAATAAAGAAATGACCCTGGGACAGGCAACGGTCCTCTTGCGCCCCAGCCTTCCTAATCTGCTTACTTCTTCTTGCCCTTGGCAGCCCCCTTGCTGGCAGCAGAACCTTTCTCCACCTGGTTCAACTTGGCGTTAAACTGGTCCTCTGTGGCTTTTAGACGCTGGTCGACGGAAAGGCGCAGCTGGGCTAACTCCTGGTTGAGCTGTGAGACAATGAAGTCCCGCAGTGCAGACGTGGGACCTATAAACGGGCGAGGCAGAGTGAAATTGTAATTCTAAGAAAGAGCCCTGGGGGGTGGGGGTGGCGCAGTGTTTAGAAGGCAGCATTGCAGGCTAATGCTGCCGACTGCCGGCAGTTCGATCCTCGCCGGCTCAAGGTTGACTCAGCTTTCCATCCTTCCGAGGTGGGTAAAATGAAGACCCAGATTGGTGGAGGGCAACATGCCCGCTCTGTAAACCGCTTGAGAGAGGGTTGTAAAGCACTGTGAAGTGGTATATAAGTCTAAGGGCTATTCCTATTACTAATAAGCAGGGGCACTGCCATTAGCCACTCAGGCTTCAGGTCCCGCACTGCCCAAAATCATGTATTAGTTAGCATTTATAATTTAAAAGATAGAGAACTATTATCTCCCTCCTGAGGCTAAAAGAGAGTGGCTATTAATGGCAAGGGGGCAATCTAGGGCAGGGCTTTTCAACCAGTGGTACGGGTACCACCTGTGGTACATTGGCACCTGGCAGGTGGTACGTGACCATCCTAGAAAAGTGGTAGCAGGGGAGGGGAATGAGCTGAACCGATGGCAGCACCACACAAGCCTGAGTGAGAGACGGCTGGAGCTGCAGGGCTGTCAGGGCTCAGTGGAAGCACCAGGATCAACGCTTCTTCAGGACTGTCAGGGCTCAGCGGAAGCACCAGGATCAGCGCCAGGCTCCAGCTGGAGCCCGGCGCTGATCCTGGTGCTTCTGCTGAGCCCAGAAGAAGCGCCGATCAGCTGGAATGTTGCAGCCTCTCCAGGGTCTTGTGATTTACATTCAGATGCTTGGCAACTGATTCATATTTATGACGGTCACAGTGTCCCAGGGTCATGTGAAGTGACCAAAACCTGCTGCAACCACCCAGCAGATGGGGGGAATAAAAACCAAACACCCCCCCACCCCACCCCCACTGCCAATCCTCAGACATGCTCACAACAATGAAAACCTCGGACAGGAGGAAGAGCGCCACCGGGCAGACAGGCAGGTGCCTTGCTTGGCTGTGGCTTGGGGGGCACTTTTTTCAGTGCCATTGTAACTTCGAATAGTCACTAAGCAAACTGTTGTAAGTCGAGGACTACCTGTACTTCATCACTTTGTTCCTTTTTTTGGGGGGTGGGGTCATCAAGTTTTTGACACCTCGCTAGGCGACTGGTGGTACTCGGATGTTGCCGTATCCTAAAAGTGGTACAATGGGTGAAAAGGTTGAAAAGCCCTGATCTAGGAAGCTGTGGATTGTTTAGCTCGGGGCTTTTCAACCTTTTCAGAGATTGTACTACTTTTAGGACATGACAATATTCGAGTACCACCAGTGGCTTAGCAAGGGGTCAAAAACTTTATGACTAAAAAAAAAGGATTTTGGGTTTTACTCTTAGATTCATTTGTTGTTATAGAAATGGCTAGTTTGGAAAAGTACAAAGCTGAGGTTCAGTATTAATGCTTCCTTCTACTGCAACAGAGAAAGTCAGAGAAATGCCTTTTCTTTTTCCCTTCTCCCCCTCCCTTTTTTCCTTTTTTTCTTTCACCCTTCGCTCGCAAGAGCCCCTTGCTCTCTCTTTCTCTCACACACACTTCTCCCGGAAAGCGTTCTCCCCCCTCTTTCTCCTTACCACTTCTCTAACAAAACCCTTTTCTGTCTCTTTCTCTGGAGTCTTTTTTTTTCTCTACCTCTCCAACCAAAACTGCCTCCTTTTATAGCCTCTCCTGTCTCCCCCGCCCCCTCCTCCTTCTACCTCTCCCAGGTGTGCCGGAAATGCTGATCCTGGGGCCTTTTTCTTGGCCCGGCTGCCCTGCAGCTCCTGAGGACTCTCTCACGGCGCTGCACCGCTTTAGCTCATTCCCTCCCCCGCTACTCTTGTCTAGGTTAGGCAGGGTCGCGTACCACCTGCCAGGTGCCAATGTACCGCCAGTGGTACGCGTACCACTGGTTGAAAAGCCCCGGTGTCCAGCCCTCCCGGGCTCGACATACAGGAGGGGGGAAGGTGAAGGACAGCACGTTGGGGGAGAGCACGGCCAGCACCGGTTCCACGCAGCTCACCGTCTCGGCGAGGCAGCTTGAGCAGCGATACTCCGGCAGGGGCGATTGAACCGCGGGACAGCTGATGGGCGGTTAGCGTGTGGCGGATGCCGAGCGAAGCGCCGGACGACATTGGGAGCCGCGCCCATGCGGGGGGAGACGCCTGAACAGCTTGACGAGCAGCTGCCAGACAGCTGACGAGCAGGAGTGCCGCGCTGTCGGGGCGGGGCTTCCCAGAAGGCTGAAGATCGCGCAGACAAACAGGAGGGAGGGGGTCAAGCTGGGACAGCTGCTGCGCTTTGGACTAACTACAGCCGGATGCTGGTTGGGTGATTGGAGGGTGGGGTTGCTGGGTAATTGGAGGGTGGGGTTGCTGGCTATTTGGGCGGAAGGTGGGGTGGCACTGAAGCAAGTGCATTTAACCTGCGCTGGAAGGCGGTTGCTCCCAGCGCGAACTTTGTTCAGCAAGGATCTTTTGTGCTATAATTCTGTGCTGATGCCAACGATGCCTTAAAGCAGGGCTTTTCAACCAGTGGTACGGGTACCACCTGTGGTACATTGGCACCTGGCAGGTGATACGCGACCATCCTAGAAAAGTGGTAGCGGGGGAGGGGAATGAGCTGAACCAGTGGCAGCACCACACAAGCCTGAGCGAGAGATGGCTGGAGCTGCAGGGCTGTCAGGGCTCAGCGGAAGCGCCAGGATCAGCACCAAGCTCCAGCTGAAGCTCGGCGCTGATCCTGGTGCTTCCGCTGAGCCCTGAAGAAGTGCCAATCAGCTGGGATGTTGCAGTATCTCCAGGGTCTTGTGATTTACATCCAGATGCTTGGCAACTGATTCATATTTATGATGGTCACAGTGTCCCAGGGTCATGTGAAGTGACCAAAACCTGCTGCAACCACCCAGCAGACGGGGGGAATAAAAACCAAACACCCCCCACCCCACCCCCTGCCAATCCTCAACAGAAATGCTCACAACAATGAAAACCTCGGACAGGAGGAAGAGCACCGCCGGGTGGGCAGGCAGGTGTCTTGCTCGGCTGTGCCTTGGGGGCACTTTTTTCAGTGCCATTGTAACTTCGAACAGTCACTAAGCAAACTGTTGTAAGTCGAGGACTACCTGAACTTCATCACTTTTTTCCTTTTTTTTTTTTTTTTTTGGTCATCCAGTTTGTGACACCTTGCTAGGCGACTGGTGGTACTCGGATATTGCCATATCCTAAAAGTGGTACAATGGGTGAAAAGGTTGAAAAGCCCTGACTTAAAGTAAAACCGCTGCTTCCTGAGTCTGGTTGCCTTCGCGTCCTTCTTGACCCAGGAGTCCAGTAGGATCGTTGACACCCGGTTTAGCTCACCTCCGAAACTCTTACGCCACACCGTACTAGCCCTAAGCCCTGTGCTTCTGAAGCCCCCCCCAAACTTACTTTCTGCAGGAGCCCCAGCTTCTTCCAATTCCTCTTGTAAAGGAGACAGTCCCATTTCAGCGCTCTCAGCTGTAGCTCCTATATAGAAAAGAGAAATATGCCAAATATTTTGGCAGCCCTGGAAGAAAAGGGGGATCAGATAATACTCTTTTTATTTTTAATCCTATTATTTTACACGATTGGTTGATGTAGTAAGGTAGCTCGTTTTAGGCAAGCCAAGCTTGGAAGGGAGAGTTATTGGTGAGTTTTGGGCCCTGTGATGTCCTGTAAAACTTTGCCCCTGAAAGGAAGAAAGGCCACAATGGCAGCACACCCACCTTGCGTACCCGAGGTCCACGGTTCATTACCAAGTGAAAGGATCTCAAACTGATGGAGCTGAGAAAGACCATCTCCATCTGAAAACCTCTTTCAGAAAAAGGAATTCATATCTAGGCTGGCCAATGGCCTAAGCCAGGGGTAGGCAACCTTGGCTCTTTTATGACTCGTGGACTTCAACTCCCAGAATTCCTGAGCCAGCCTGGCTCAGCTTGGAAACCTCTCCCTTTCCCCTCAGCATGGCTGGCTCAGGAATTCTGGGAGTTGAAGTCCACGAGTCATAAAAGAGCCAAGGTTGCCTACCCCTGGCCTAAGCCCATGTCATGTCTCCAGATCCAACCCGTTGGGGGAGTTGAATTCTGGGAGTTGAAGTCTACCCGTCTTCAAATTGCCAAGGTTGAGAAACACTGTTAGCGTATCAATCTTCCCTACTGTTGTCCCCTAGATTACAGTGCCCAGTTGACTGACAGGATTGGTAAGACAACTACATTTGGAGGGCATCAGATTGGGGGAAAGCTCTCTTAAGCCATCTTTCCAATCCAATTCTCACTAGTTTTAGCTCTATAGGAAGAAGGCTTCCCAGCCTGCTCTGTTCCTTTTTTTCATCCTCCCAACTAAAAATAGGAGTGGAATACAGTAGATCTCAAAAGTGAGATGCAAAAGAGTCCCGGCCCACCTCCACACTCACCTTCCTCTTTGGGCTCTGGTTCAGGCATCCCAATATAGGTGAATGAGATGTCCAGCCTCACCTATTGATTTAAAGCAGAATTGGGGTTGTGAGCCCAGAGCAGGGGTCTGCAACCTTAAACACTCAAAGAGCCACTTGGACCCGTTTCCCAGAGAAAACAATGGGAGCCGCAAAACATGTGCGCGCACGCAAGGGGTAGGAAGATTGATTGAAGAGTTTAATTAAAAAGAAATAGAGGCTGCTGTGCATGAATACTCTCTCTCTCTTTCCTCTCCCTCCCTCTCTCCCTCTTTTCTCTCTCTCTCTTTCCTCTCCCTCTTTCTCTCTCTTTCTTTCCTCTCTCTCTCTCTCTTTCATCTCCCTCTCTCTTTCCTCTCTTTCTCTCTCCCTCCCTCCCTCTCTTTTTCTCTCTCCTTCTCTTTCTCTCCCCCTCTCTTTCCCTCTCTCCCTCCCTCTCTCTCTCCCTCTCTCTCTCCCTCTTTTTCTTTCTCCCTCTTTCCTTCTCTTCCTCCCCTCTCTCTCCCTCTCTCTGATCTTCTCCTCACCTGGCAAGCTGGCTTCAGGCTCTTCTCCAAGAAGCTGACACACATTATTGGGCTGGCTCTCTCCTGCCTTCCTGCTTCCTGCAGAGACGCAGCAAAGGCAGGAGCCCTGCCCAATAAGCTTGTCAGCTCATTGGAACAGCGTAAGGCTACTCTCTTTTTTACACACACACACACACACACACACACACACACACACAGAGAGAGAGAGAGAGAGAGAGAGAGAGAGAGAGAGAAGGGAAGTGTAAGTGCCTCTCTCTGTCTCTCTCTCTGCAAACGGCAGAGGAGGCTGGGAGCCGCAGGAGAAGGCTCAAAGAGCCACATGTGGCTCCGGCTGACCCGTGGCCCAGAGTGATGGACTAACACTTGCATTTCGCCTTTTTGAACCTCTGTGTTTGGGATGCTTGATGCTCCCTTCATAAAGATGCTGCTGCTTCATCTCGCGGCAATACAATTCTCAGGAGTAGCCAAGCGATGTCAGAGATCACATTTTGTAATTGGGCCAATTCCCAGAGGGGATGCTCTTCGTTTCCCAGGGCAGGAAAATGGCAAGAGAACACCGGCCCTTCCCTAGCACTGCCTGGGCTGAAGGAAATCTGCCTTACCTGTGGGGTGAAAGCATACTTGTAAAGTTTGTAGTGACGAAAGTAAGTGTTAATCATGTAGTCGGTGAGGAGCACCAGCTGGTCCTGATTGAAGAGGTCGATGCTGAAGGGGGGTCTCTGAGAGAGAAAGAGAAGAGGAAAACAGCCGTAGAACCACTGCAAGAACCACGAGGGGACGAAGGCCCTCTGCAGGGGAGCTTCATTCAAAACAAACTACATGTAGTCCTCGACTTATGACCACAATTGAGCTCCAAGTTTCTGTTTGGTGAGACAGTCGTTATGTGAATTTTGCCCCACTTTACGACCTTTCTTGCCACAGTTGCTGAATTAATCACTGCAGTTATTTAGTAACGCGATTGTTAAGTAAATCTGGCTTCCCCGTTGACTTTGCTTGACAGAAGGTCACAAAAGAGGATCGCACAACCCCAGGACGCTGCAACCGTCATAGATACGAGTCAGTTGCCAAGCGTCTGCATTTTGGTCACGTGACCATGGGGATGCTGCAATGGTCGTACGGGTGAAAAACGCTCGTAAATCACTTTTTTTCAGTGCTGTTGTAATTCCAAACGGTCACTAAATGAACTGCTGAAAGTCGAGGACTTACCTGTATGTGGATAAGCAAACGTAAAGCTCCTTTTGGCCTGCCCGGCATTCACACACTCACCCGAATGGAGTGGCAGAACAGGAGTTCGGAGAAATATTTGTAGCATTCCTCCACGTTGGGCAGCGGTGTTTCTGCACAAAAACAGATGGTAGGAATAAGCAGAAGATCCACTTCAACCTCTCTCCTTTCCTCTGCATCTGAAGGGATTTTATTGTGCTTATGATTTTAGTATGTTTAAGTTTGACATTAGCATTTATTTTATATATAGTAACCATTTTATATTGATACTTATAGTGTTATCATGTAATCATTGTTTTGTTATTTTGTAATCTTTATTTTGTAGTTAATTGCTTGATCAGATGCTTTATATATATATTGGAAAATATATATATAAGGGCTTCATGCTTTAGGTATAGGTGATTGCTTATATGAAAAGAGCACAGTAAGGGGAGGGGGGAAAGGAGCTACGGATGGAGCCTGGGTTGCTGTGTATGAGTCATCATCTAGGAATTGTTTTTTTGTGCCATCTTATGCCTAGTACCAAGACCTGATCTTTTTGTTCTGGAAAGGTATAAAAGGTGGAAGACATCTTTTCTGGTTGTTGCCTTCATCTCTCTACCAGCCACGAAGAGAGATGGGGGTCACCCAACTCTATTTTGATCAAAATAAAAGTTGTTTGCTTGCTGAAACCTCGACTCAGGAGTTTCTTTGGCTCTTTTAAATTCCTGAGTAATGCTGGGGCAGTTGTGAGGCTAAGTGGAAAACCTTACAGCATCCTTCTTTCCAGTTCTAGACTCTCTTTGCCCTGTTCCTCCATATCACTGACTCTGGTGGGACCCTTTTCCCTTCCAATTCTATTGCTGGCTGCTCTTATTCACAGAGACATTTTCTCACGATTCTGCCCACATAACATCAAAGGCAAAAAGAGCACATGGGACTGGCGGTACCACAGCCAGCCTAAGACAAACAGGATCAGGCCAAACTGCAGAAGCTTAATGTGATTTGGACATCTGAAAAAACTATTATTTTCTCCCATATCTACCGCACCCCCTGTTGCACTATTAAAACTCCAAGTAAATAAAGAAATACGTTGCTTAGAACCTTGGGGCCGAAGCAGCGTGAAAGTCCAGCTATTCAAGTCATTAAATAAATACGGTTTCCATCTTCTTCACCCACGTTTCTCCACTCATACAACCTTCTTTTTTTTCTGTCTTTCTCAACACCCAGTTCCTTACCCACACAGGCCTCGTGCACATCCTTCACAATTGAGAAGAAAGCAGCGGTTTGTTCCCGGTTGAAGCCCTGCTCCCGGCTGAACTGGATGGTGTAAAAGTACAAATCTAACAAGATAGCAGAGCGAGGATTTGATTCAAAATCCTTCAGATCAAAGAGGTCAGAGAGGAGCCTGCAGAAAGTAGGGGAAATTGGGAAAAATATGACAGCTTGAACATTCACAACCATTTACCAGCTATTTTCATTACTTGATAACCTTTTTAAAAAGCTTCTACATCTGTGGCAAGGCTGGTAGGTTTATTTGGTCAGAACTGGCATAATTTCATCTCTATTTCTTTTAGGTTTAATTGAACACAGTTTAAAATCTCACTGCCACCACTCCAAAATGATAAATGTATACTTTTTATACTGTGGTTTATCTCCTTTGTTAATGAGGGGAGGGAGATAAATTTGTTTATTGCACCATATTATGCTGGGATTTTCAAATCTTTTTTGCAAGATAATGCTAGAGAACAACTATGCATCTTATTGTGTATGGATACACAATAAGTTGTGCTATAGATGAAAAAGGGTTTTATTAATCACTAGGCTGGCAAGGAATTTATTCAGATCTTCATTCTGTGCGCTTCTCATGGTTTGTTCTAGAAAGAGATTAAGAAAGCCAGTCATGAAATGTTTCATGAACACCCATCACCTTTTCAATTCATCAGTTGTTCCAGTATTATTGACGAGGTCCATGGAATGAACATCTAAATATTTCCTGAAATGTCACAAAAAAAGAAAAGAGAAAAACTAAGGGTTGCTAATGTAGCACAAACAATTTTGTTTCTAGCAGTGTGATTTTGTACAGGTTTTCTTGAAAATAAGGCCCAAAATAAGTTTAATGATGCTTACAGTGGATAAAGGATATAGCCCGGTCAGCCAGAAATTCAAGGAACCTCTCTCTATGGATCAACATGTAACTGGCTCTTAGACAAGAAATGTAATAACTCTTTTGAATCTCAAGAATGAAAAGCTACTTACCACATACATATGTTTGCCTTATGTGGCTTGGGCTGAAAGAAAAAGGTCAGTTTTAGATACATTTTCTGATAGTGTGATGTCTAATCCACAATAAAGTTAGTTCATTGTTTATTAAAAGCATCAGCATACGAATTGCTACATTTTATTGGTAGAATGCTGAAATTTAATTCACACACTCATGTCTTATAAACCATGTTTCATTCGATAAACATTTATCATTTAATAGATTGCAAAAAAGCATTGTCTACTATAACCATAAGCTTATATGTATCTTCACCTTTGTGGTGATTAATTATATTTGCACATATTTCTCAGACATCTACTAAGAAGCAGCATGTGACTTGTAGCACTATGGTTTATTCAACAAGCCGTAGTTCAAAAAAGTATGTGTCAAGTCTGCTATAAGGAGAAGACGTGTCCAAGTTTACTTGCAGAATATCTAGCCACTCAGGTTTCAATTATTTCCATCCTGCTGCCTACTGCAACACACTGTATTAATTTTATTACTGCTATGTCAAATGATATATATCTGGTAATTCCACTCCAGGTAGTCCTTGACTTACAACCATTCATTTAGTGACCGTTCAAAGTTACAAGAAGAGCACTGAAAAAAGTGACTTATGACCCCTTTCCACACTTGTGATCGTTGCAACATCCCCATGGTCACATGATCGAAATTCGGACACTTGGCAACCGACTCATATTCATGACAGTCACAGTGTCCTGAGGTCATGTGATCAACTTTTGTAACTTTCTGACAAGGAAGTCAATGGGGAAGCCAGATTCGCTTAACAAACTTGTTACTGACTTAACCACTGCAGCAGTTCACTTAACAACTGTGGCAGGCAAGAAAGGTCATGAAATTGGGCAAAATTTACTTAACAAATCTCTCGCTTAGCAACAGAAATTGTGGGTAATAATAATAATAGTAATAATAAAGTTGGAAGGGACCTTGGAGGTCATCTAGTCCAACCCCCTGCTCAGGCAGGAAACCCTATACCATTTCGGACAAATGGCTGTCCAGTCTCTTCTTAAAAACTTCCAGTGTTGGAGTATTCACCGCTTCTGGAGGCAGGTTGTTCCACTGGTTAATTGTTCTAACTGTCAGGAAGTTTCTCCTTAGTTCTAGGTTGCTTCTCTCTTTGGTTAGTTTCCACCCATTGCTTCTTGTCCTGCCTTCAGGCGCTTTGGAAAATAGCTTGACTCCCTCTTCTTTGTGGCAGCCCCTGAGATATTGGAACACTGCTATCATG